AGGTAATAAAAGATCATTATAATTAATCAATCTAATTAACGAGTGTTCCAAATATAAATAAATAAATAGTTATATTAAATAAATAAAAATCTTTTTTAAAAACACCTAGGTTTGTAACGTAACTTAGTTGTTTAATAAAGTTATGGTGTCATGACCGTATCATGTTATACGTTGGAAAAACCCATCGGAACTAAAAAAGTTGCGTTAGAAACTACCGTACTGGTAGAAATTTCAAAATAATTAATATCACATACCGTTATTTGAAACTTCAACTAGTGCGGTAGTTACTGATTCAACTTTATTATATTTATATGTAGTTTGGAGTAGATCGAGGCATATTCTTATTGAGAAATTTATTATTTTAATCTATTAGACACTAGATAGGATAATAGTACGATATAGATGATAGATACTCAAAAATATATAAACACTCGTAAAAAGCATGCATATAAAACCTTGTGATACATATTTATACCCACGTTTTGATAAATATTGACATGAGAATCTTTTTAAAATTTCAAACAGAAAACGAGTTTGTGCTAAAAATAAAATTACTAAGAATCCGTATTATATACAACGGAAAAATTATACGAATTGATTAAAATTCAGTACCGTAAATGACACACAAATACCAAAGAAAATTTTGTGTGTAGGTTTACAAAATAAATTGGTTTACCCAAAAAATTTAACGTTCTTAGATTTTGTAATGTATAATGAATATTTACTGACTTATATAACAAGAAAATTGTTATTTCAAACTGTTTTGGGTGTAACATTTTCTTGACGTCCCAATATTAAATAAATATGAGGTAATAATAACAGAAATACTTCTAATACACCTACTTCTAATTTTTTGTATGTTTCGTTGTACAACAGGTGTATTGCAGAAAAACCGCCTCTTTCTTAGTATGCTGTAGTCTGAAAAACCATTTTGTCTGGGTCGCCAATTTGGTTTGTCTTAAAAATATTGAATAAGACAGGTTTCTATACGGTGTAATTCCTTCGATATTTACAATGAGAATAAAGAGTAAAGAAACAAACTTTACTAAGTTTATCAGGCTATTACATCAAAGACATCTTCATAGTGATGAGTTTTAAAACACTCAGTTCTAGTATTATACAGTCATCAGTTGATCCTCATTGCTACATATCAATATTTTGTTCAACTATCAATATATAATGTTAGAATTAGGTATTACATAGTCTAAAATTCATCACTGTGTTCTGAAGATTCCTTCGAAGGGTAGAAAATCATGTCACGGTGATTTATTTATTATCCTTTTCATATTATATATAAATGGAATTCCAACATGAATAAACAATTTTTGTGCAACGGAATTCACATATGTGCAGAAAAGGCTAAGCACTATATATCATGTAATTATAGGTAGATAGTGTTAATTTCGAGGTGTGTTTCATCATTTACTTACTAAATATGATAAGGTTTTACCGGTTTTATTCCCAATGTTGTCCCACAAATTGTCTGACTAAACGTCTGGATGTAATAGTTCATTGAAACTACGGTTTCTCAGTTCGAATCTTCGAATTATAATTATTTTACCATGAATTCTAACAGTGAAAGCCTGTATTCAAATAACAGAATATTTGTAAACCGGTTATTCTTTGAAAAATTTTAAAAAGTTTATCTTCTGTGCTCATTTTGATAGTATTAATCACGATATTTATTATGTTCTTAACTGCCAGAAAAGGAACGATGGAATGTTATTAAAAACGTTAACATTATTTTCAAAAAGTTAAATACTAGACAAGCAAAATAATTTTATAAATCTTTTACAGAAGCCTTTGTTTGTTTTTCTTTTGTCTTCTTCTTAAAATCCCCTATGACAGGGATGGCGAACCTTTATGTATCGACGTGCCATATTTATAAGGAAAAGTTTAATCAGGTCAAAGACGTGCCATCAAATAATTTTGTCTCTGTGATTATTGGGAAAATAATAATAATATCAACTTAAACTTTTTTATTTACTACAAAAAAATAGGAACATTTTGCAATGTTTAAATTATACGTGTAATTTAAATTAAAGTAAAATTAGTGTTACTTTTGTTGTTGCAGATTAGATGACAAATAACTTATGTTAGGGTTGTAAGATGTTACTTTTAGCAGAATGCATGCTGAACTGGAGTTAT